TTCTTTGTATGTGGAGCTATGATTGACAAACAGAACAATTCAGAGTCTTTTACAGAGCAGGGGCAGTACCACTCTTGTCACTGGTGGTACCCTCAAGGGTACATCTCAGTACCTTTAGTCAGGGAACATAATTGTACAATAATCCATTGAAATTATATGTTGTATTGACTCCACACACCCTGTCTCGTCTCAAGGCTTTTTATTGTATTGTTCTCTTTTAAAACATTCGGTTATGAAAAGGTACAAATACGTACTTTCCACCTGGAAAAAAATACTTATTTAAGGTTCACAATCGGATCTAAGACGACTGTTGTACTTTTTAGGGTACATTTACATTCTTTGTACCAGCACAGAGCCTTTATTTCTAACAGTGTGCTCATCTGTAACGACGTACATCGTATTTCACTGAACCAGACAGATTCAAAATAAACAGGCAAATAAAATAAATAAAGCAGCTCTGGATGGTCCTCACAGTGCAGCCTGTAGATGCCTCACCGTAATGATGTTTGTAAAGGATTCCAAAAACATTCAGATGATTCCAGACGCCACAGTTGGCGAAATCTACACAAATATTAATTTCGCTAATTACGCTGAACAGACATGATGTCTGGTGGAGGACTGGTTTGAAAGGCAATATGCAAATTTTTAGAGAAACAGTCCAACACTGAGACCTGCTAAAATGATAATGGAGCACAAGCTCTAAACAAGGCTGTGGAAACTTCCAGAAGCTCAAGAACTTCTGCTGCAAGGAAACCGAGGGAGCGGAGACCAGAGCAGATGTTTAGAGGGCTTGGGAACACGGATATTGCTCAGTGGACAAAATTATTTAAATTCTGAGTTAGATATAAGCCAGAAGTTGGTGTGGCTCAAAGGAATAGCTTAAACAAACAGCCTGATGTGGCTAAATAAGAATGCAAGCTAGTTCACAGCTGTTAGCATGATGCTGTAAGTTATATGTATGAAGCTAACCGGTGCCTGTTCACTTTTACACTATAAAAGCAACACAGTCACAGCACTTCAACAGTCCTGCAATCTAAACGCTGCAGTAGATGCTGTTTTGATTCATTTCTAGGTGTTGCTAATGCAGATTAGCACTTTAATGGATGAATCCTCATGTTATTCTCTGGTTGCCAAAGCAAATTCTACATAAGTCATTTTAAATAATATCCAGTATGAAATATCAGAGCTGACTATGTTTATACTTTTACATAGTCAGCAATAAAAACACTCCAGCAGATCCTGTTTAGATGTTTAATCATTTTTAGCTGCTAAAAGAGCTTAAATGGGCTTCATTTCACTGCAGATTTGATGAGACTCATTTGGAGTTTTTTTTCTGTTTTCTCTGATGTTTACACACTTTTATCAGCTCAGCTCAGGAGAGATGGAGAGAATGGATGGAGATATAGAGAAACAGAAAAGGTTTCATAGGTAAAAGAAAGAAATAAGAGGAAGGAATGAAAAGAGAAGAAAATGATGGAGAGATGAACAAAGGAGAGATTAAAAGAATAGAGATGGAGAGATAAAAGGATGGAGGGATGAAAAGAGTGCAGAAAAGAACAAGAGATGGAGAGAAACAAGTAAGAGACCAAGAGAAAGGATGGTGAGATGGGAAGGAAGGAAGCAATGGAGAGCTAGAGAAAAGCATGGAGAGAAAGAAGGAAGTGAGAGATTGAGAGTTAACTGTAACAGACAGAGGGTCAGTTTAATACTTGCTATAAAAGTCTGATGAATGAGTGCAAACAAAGTTAAATTCATATAATTCTATGTTGTAAGAAACATATATTTTCCAACCAAACTGCATAAATATATTATCCACCTATAAGACAGACAGAGAGATCAACTGATAGATACACTGCAAAAAATAATATCTTGTCAAGTGAAATTGTCTTAAACCTAGTTGATATATCAAATATTTCTCTTGTTGAGCTTATTTTAAGGCTTATTGTAAGATTATTTAACTTATTTTAAACAGGTTTACCTGTTCTGGGTGATTTTATTAAGTAAAATGATCTCACTGTATTGGCAGATAATTTAGCTTGTTTTAAGAAATGTGATTGAAACAAGCTAAATTATAAGCCAGTATAGTTACATAATTTTACTTTAAAAAGTTACTTAAAATGATCATAAGTGCACAACCATCTCAAAATAAGAAATATAAGATATATTGACTAGAATTAAGACAATTTCACTTGACAAGATACTACTTTTTGCAATGCACACACACACACACACACACACACACATCAAATTAAAATTATATATATATATATATATATATATATATATATATATATATATATATATATATATACACATATACATATCAACAACATCTGAAAGATACCAATTAAATAGATGAAAATTCCTGTTTTCAGATGTTTCTCTTTTCTGTCTTAAAATCTGTGTAATCATATGAAACAAAAAGACATAATTTACTTTATTTGTCTTTGTTTAACTAAAGGTGTCTTAGTTGTAACACAGCAGTACAGACTAACCCCGCAGTACAGAGGTCTTACTTGAGCCTAACTAGCGCTTGCTGTAAGCTTGTCTCATGCTTCAACATGGTGCTGCGTTGTAGGAAACAAGGTGGTGATTAAAGTAATGTAAGGTTGGATTTTGTGATTTACACAAACTGCTCAGTTACCAAAAAAAACTTGTGTGAAAAAAATGGACTTACATGCCCTGAAAACACTCTTTGGCACAGATCGCTTTAAAACACTGACATTTGAATTTTGGTGGGAGACAGCGGCTAGGAAATGTGGTAATGTGGCCAGAAGCACATGCTGTTTTACCTTCTTTAACAACATAAAAATGACGCGTTAATATGTGCCCTACATTAGGTTGTTCCCAACGCTCCCCTACCACATTGCCTAGTGTAGCAGAGCGCTGCTATAGAATGCCAGCAGGGGGAGCTGATAAACTCCAGGTTCAAGTTTATTTTTACACTCTACTCATATAAATTGAATGAACTAGTGTTCAGCATCACTCATCATATTCAGCATCCATTTACTGCCTTTTCACAGAATGGCTATTTTCAAGCTGAAAGATATGAGCTGAAACTGGCTAGGCTAGTGATGTTAGCTGAGCTGACTTACTATTAGCATCTGCTTGTTTAACTAAAAGCCTGGCAGCCGTTCTCTATGTCTCTCTTCATGCTACATGTGATCTACTGAGGCTTTCTATAGTCTCAGTATGGCTTTAGTTCAATGTAGTAAAAGCAAAATGCTGCATGATGCACTGAGAAACTGAACAGTGCTGATATGTGTACCTCGATTAAAAACAATGGTTTCTAATTATTTGAATGCTGTGTGATGCAACACTTCGCATCCGGTGTGCGACGGCCTGAACAGTAGACTACAACTGTTTAAGCCATCCATACAGCAGGAAACACTGTAACTTCCTCACTGTAACTTAGTCCATTGTTAGAGTGGAAGTTTCCTGCAGGCCATAAAGATAGACTACCGCAGACAGGTCTCACACACACGCAAACACATGTTCAGGAAATGCCTTCAGTCAGACCTTTCCCACGCTGACCTCATTCCTATATGTGAAACATCACGTACAGCCCCTCTGTACAGCATTATCAGAGCTGTAACCATCAACATGTTTTTTAGGTTTAATACTTTTTTTTTAACCCTGAGGTCAATTCACCTCAATTCACTCTCTGATATTTTCTGTTTTATGATGTTTTCAGGTCTACAGAGCTCCAATTCTGTTCTACACAGGTTTCAGCTCCTTCTGCACCACCTTGTAACTAAACGAACCCCAAAAATCGCAATGTCTACAATTAAGAAGCTCTTCTGAAAACTGAGCCCAGTCATTTTAATGTAGGTGTAGTCATATCATAACTCCCATCCCATGCCCTGCCCATTTTACTCTGATAGGCTGCACCTAGATGTCTAGTTTTGATCACTCACAGTATTTTCAATGAAAGACAGTAAATAAAAGATGCTATGAAGTGAGTGAGGAGCGAATCATCCATACAGCTTTACATTCAGTAACTGCTATTAATTATTCAGTATCTCCTACGAATTATTCAAAATCTACTATGAATGATTCGTTATAAACCATGAATTAATTAGTATCTACCACAAATTATTCAAAATCTATTATGAATTATTCAGAATCTACTATGAATAATTAGAATATGCTATAAATTATTCAGAATCTACTATGAATTATTCAGTATCTGCTACAAATGATTCACTAACTACTATGAATCGTTCAGTATCTACGACGAATTATTCAGTATCTACTATGAATTATTCAGAATCTGCTACAAATGATTCAGTAACTATCATGAATTATTTTGTATCTACTATGAATTTTTCAGAAACTACAACGAATTATTCAGAATCTACTATGAATTATTCAGAATCTACTATGAATAAATAGCATCTGCTACAAATTACTCAGAATCTACTATAAATTATTCAGTATCTATGGAACTGATATGCATGTTGTGTAGCTATGAAGAAGTTGTAGTGACCCACATACAGACCACTGGAGTTTAAGGGGCAATATCAACTACATTTAGCCACGTCATGGCATAATGATGGGCAGAAAAACACTGTCCGAACAACCATAACATTAGCTAGACTAACACAAGTTAACAACAGCACAGGAGATATAACATGAGGATTGCTGTTGCTAGCTAAGCTAGCAAACTACAGTCATTCTAGTCATCACACAGTCATTCAAAACTGCACCTAACATTGCAGTACAGTCGTCTACCTCAGGACATCTCTTGGAGATGCTGCTACATTGTTGAAAATCCTGGTCCACTCATGAGGGATCAGAACACATGATTAGGTACATTGTCATGTTTTTGTTGAATTTCTCTGACTTTTTTTTTGGTGTTGCTCATTATGTTGCTAAACTAAATTCCGCTGGGGTTAAAGGTCACTGCAGTGGAGCCACATGCTGTTAAAAGAGAGATATAGAGAGATAGAGTGATGGAGTGATGGAGATAAAGGAGGGGACACTCCACCTCTTCTTACCGTTCTCGGGGTGCTCCATCTCCCCGATGCTGCCGTCTGGTGTGGTCCGCTCGTAGTGGTCCTCTGGCAGGGCGAGGGGGCCGATCCTGGGCCCGGACGAGCTCTTACTGCTCGGCGTCTCCGACTCCTCCAGACCGCTGTCATAGTAACTGTGCTGGGAGGGGTCCTGCAGGTCCTGCGCCTGATTGGCTGTGGAGAAGGTCACTCGGCGGTGTGGGAGCTGTGATTGGACAGAGAGGAGGAAAGATAAATTCGACGTTATTGTCTTAAAATATGGTACATTTTTGAGATACTATACGTGATTATACAAGATTATATGAAATTTTAGAAAAAGGAGCAGTTATACAGTCAAACACTGCAATTAATTATATTATGGCAAGTGAAATTCTCTCCTATCTAGTTGATGTATCTAATATCTTTTATTTTAAGACTGTTGTAAGCTTATTATAAGATTGTTTAACTTATTTCTAAGCTTTTTTACTTGTTTTAAGTGAAATAAGAAAAGGGGTAATTTTGCTTGATTGCTGCATATTTCTTACAACAAGCATTGTTATCTGAGATATAACACTTAACTTAAAACAAATAAAAAGCATTTTAACCTCAAAAATGAAAAAAATATTAGATATATCAACTAGACTTAAGATAATTTCACTTGCTTTCATTTTGTCCAGCGCAGTGAGTAACAATGACAAAACCAAAATGATCCAGTTAAAATCAGGAAGTTTTCTACACCAGAGAGTCTCATTGCACTGATGTTTCACCACAACAAAAATATGGTGGTTAAAGCAGCTTTTCATCCAAATACACAATTAGACTTGCCAAAAATTGATTTACACCAAAGTTATGTGACCGCCTAGCTTGAAGTTTTGAGCTGTTAGCTAATAGGAATGTTTATTTACTTTTGTGGGCTTGTTTACTTTTTGATTTGATGTGCAGATGTTACATTTCCCATCTAGACACCCTGAAGGCTTTGGGATATGATACTATATTTGAATGCGAGTGGTGCTGTGATGACAAAGTGTGAAATTATGGTGATTCTAAATGTAAACTGTAAATGTAAAACAGTAATGTTCTGTTAATTACTGAGATTTCACCCAAAAACCGTTTTTGATTTTGCTGGCATGTCTGGCAAATTGTCTAGTTGTCCTCATATGTACCATGACAAAAGATAAAAACAAACAAACAAACAAGCAAATCACTTTTTCCCCACCATTTCCAAACTTTGAAGTCTAAGTAGTGTTACTAAAATGGTAGCGTTACAGTTGTTCTATATACAACCATCGACACTCAAAGAACCCTTTGCATGATTAATTAGTTCTTTACATGGTGAGATCATTCTTCAGATTCAAAATGTGTTGTATATGGTTCTATATAGAGCCTTTTTGAAAACGGTTCTAAATTGGTACTGTTACAATGTTGAACTTGTAATCGAACTCTTTTGGTGCTATACAGAACCATATTCAACACATTCTCCATCAATCTATGATTAAATGGTTCTCTGCATGGTGAAATCATTCTTCAGACTAATGGAGAGTGTGTTGTATTTGGTTCTATGTAGCACAAAAAAGGGTTCTGCTATTGTGTCAAGCTTGTACCAACATCAGAAACCTTTTGGTGCTAAACAGAACCATATACAACTCCATCAATCTGAAAAACATTTTCACTATGCAAAGAACCATTAAAGCATGCAAATGCTTCTTTTAGTGTTAATGGTTCTAAATAGAACCACTGTCTTTACCAAAGAAGTCTTGAAGAACCATCTTTTTCAGAGTGCAAAATCATGATTCATCATTATTTTATCTTAATCTTAGTCCAACTCCACATTGGAAATTTGGGAAGTTAATGATGGTGAGATTGTTCTCCATTCTTTCTTCTCTAAAAGTTCTTCAGAATCACCATATCAAGTCAACTAAACATAAACCGAACAATAATTATCCATTTTGAAAATATATTAATATCAACTTTCTCATCTTTCATCAACAATTTTGGAACCAAAATCAACAAACAAATAAAACCCAGTTATTTCATCACAGTAAGATCAATTAGACCCTCAACCAACAGCAAACAGATTTTTTAAACAGTTCAGTTCAGTTTCCTTGGTATGCTACAGTATCCCAGGTGGTTGCTAGAGCATTGCTAAGCACGTTAGATGGTTACTACATTGAGCAAAAGGCTGTATTTAATGATAAATTAAGTGGTTCAATGTTCCAGTAAACATTCAGACTAGAACAAAACAGCGCCGTGTGACAGATCCCTTCCATTAAAACGTACACTGAATGTATCTGCTTCAGTCCTCACAGCTCAGACTCAGTAAACAACGTGTGAAGTTCACACAGAAGAAGGATGAATGAAGGCCAAAACAAAACTGACTCTGCGGATGGATGCTGCAATAAATGCAGCAGGTTTCAGTATCTGCACCCGGAAAGTTCCACCAGTTCCACCGTGATGACACACTGCAGGTAAAGGCTTAATGAGCGGAAAAAGGAGAGAATAATGAGAGCTGAGCTGTGATGTAAAGCAGCAGGAGTGTCTCCATCCACACATCCTGCATCATATACATTCATACACCAACAATGAAAAACACAGCAATGAGTACACACAGCAAAATGCACCATCATATCAAAACAGAATTAACACTGAAAACCACTTCAGAACAGCAATGGAAACAAAACTATAATAACCTGATTGTAGTAAAGACCCATGTGTGATAGTTTTAACATTTTTATTGACTTTAAAAATAATCTAATGTAAATATATATATATATATATATATATATATATATATATATATATATATATATATATATATATTTATCAGCCATTATATCATTATATCTCCTGCTTAGTGTGTGTTTCAGTGTTAAATCTCAACTCGACACAATCGGTTATTGCGCCACATATCAATAATCTGATTGGTCACTGCTCAGCCCATTTGCATAAACTTTGTCCTCAGCAACAGCAGCAGTCTGATGAGTCAGTTGTGTATATTGTCATCTCTTGCCTCGTTATAGCGCTTTATGACACTGTTTGGTGTAAATAAAAAAGGGCAAATCATTTTGCATGATGTCATCAGTAATGTCACATATACACCGCTTAAAATTCCACTAACAGCTTCTCACGTCCCTGCTTTAGTTATTTTGCTGTGTGTTAACTAGGCTAGTCTTGCTAACAGCTAATCACAGTACATTAAATTTACTCCACAATGAATACGAAATGAATAGTTTAGTAGAGGGTCGGCAACATGTGGTTCCAGGGCTAATTCAGGTGCTAATTCACCAACTTCTAACCCTGAAGGTTGGTGCGCAGGATGCTGGTTACATAGCAATGTAGACAAGTCTCGCCTAGCTAGTAGCTAACGAAAAGACAAAGAGACAGATTTAGGATGAACATCGATAATTTGGAGATGAATGGACTTATTTTCACTTATAATCACTCCAGCTGAGTTCCCGATACGTTTAATCTGCAGTGAGAAACCGTCAAACACTAAAAAGTCCTGAAGCTGAAGTCAGTTTCTTATTCACCAGCTTCTTGTTTGAATTTTCCCATTCCAACTTAAATGCTGCAGCAGTTACATTCTGGCGCCTCAGGCACCATTTAAGGTGGAACAGAAAAATTCGAACAAGAAGCTGGTGAATGAGAAACTGACTTCAGCCTCGTAAAAAGTCAAATGTTGAGAGACATTTTACAAGAAACTGTTCTACTTTTAAGGCAAAGTTTCCTGCCAGAGATGCAAGAAAAGCTATAGCTGAGCGAAAGTTTAAAGCAGAGCAAAATAAATCTGTATTTTCATTTATATTGTTTACCCTATGATAGTAGCACATACTGAGACATATTTACAGCCACGATGGTAATACAAATTTTGTTGAAAGGACAAAATCGCCCTTCTTAACATTTGGATTGCCAACCCCTGACCTAGTAAAATAAAAGTGCTTAATGTTGGACGTGTACTGAGTGGAAACCATTCAGGATTGTATCTGAAGTTAAATTACGCTGTAAATAAAATGCTAATGAGTGAGGCTAGTCTTGCTAAGTCCTCTAGCCTATGTATGTTCTCTGATGGACACACACACACACACACACACACACACACACACACACACACACACAGATAAGCAATGCTCCACTGTGAGTGCTTTTGTTCTCAGCACAGCGTCTCCTTTCAGAGCAAGGAGCAGAATTCATTTCAGAAAAACCCCGATTAGCACATCAGGAGTGTGTATGCTTTATCTTCAGTATGCATTCTGTGTGTGTGTGTGTGTGTGTGTGTGTGTGTATAGGAGTGTGTGTGTGTGAGGATCAGGTTTATGCCACATTGTGGGGACCAAAACCTGTTCATATACTCACGTTCTGCAGACTTTTCTTCCTTGTGGGGACCATTACATTTTAAAGTAAGGGTGCACACTTAAAAATGATTGTTCTTCAAGGGTTCTTTAGTAAGGAAAATGGTTGTATATAGAACCATTAACAGTCAAAGAACTGAATAGCACCACAAAGGGTTCTTCTATTGTTACAGGCTTGATATCATCACAATAGAAGAGCCCTGTTTGTATCAGCATAAAACAGTTTTCAAAAAGAGTGTGTGAAACCATTTACAACACATTCTTCATCAACCTGAAGGTACATTCCCTCATGCAAAAAACCCTTTAATCATGCAAAGGGTTCGCTGAGTGTTCACGGTTCTAAATAGGACTATTTTCTTTACTAAAGAACCCGTGAAGAACCATCATTTTTAAGAGGCTAAGGCTAAGGTTAAGGTTAGGGTAGTATTAGTTCTGGTTAAGGTTTGGGGAAGTCTCCAGGAAATGAATGGAAGTCTATGTGATGGACCCACAATTCACAGAAACAAGATTGTGTGTTTGTGTGTGTGTGTGGGGAGAGATGGAGTTACTCTTTTTTTCTCTAAGAGCTGCTCTATTCCCTCTCTCCATGTACTGCTGTTATTTCAGCCTCCAGCTACAACAGCACTCACTCTCTCACTCTCACACAAATGGCATCTCTCTCGCCCTCTCCCTTTCCTCTCTCTCCTCGGTCTCCATCTCCCCACGCTCCTTCTCTCCCTCTCTCTCCCCTCCCTCTTTCCCTCAGTCTCTCTCTACCGCCTCCCTCTCTCTCTCCTCTCTCTCTCTGTATGACAGTGTAGCCGGAGGTGGGATTGGTTTAGGTGGGAAGCGCACCTGAGAGAGTGGAGTACTCGCCCGCAGCCTCACAGCCAAACAACAC